CCAGGATCCAAACCGGCGAACCCCGGGCCAACGCAGCGGAGTGCGTGCACTTAACCGCTTGCGCCACCAGGCCGGCCCCTGTCCGTACTTCTAACTCCAATATTTTATACATTCTATTTCAAATGACATTTCATGCATTGCCACAGAACTGTGCGTTGACAAATCTTCTAACCACTTAGATTTTATATGCTTATGGTTTAGTCTAATACGTTTTCCTTCCTCAGTACAGTAGAGACAACACTTTTCTTGGTACAACTCAACACAACCAAAGGGAAAGCTACTGCACGGGGCCTTGCTTGGCCTACCTCGTTAAATTCTAAAGAACAGTTTAAATCCCTAATCTTCACAAAGCCTACTGAGCTCTGGGACGGCTTGCACCCAATCAGCTTAAAGTCATTCATTCATACCAGTGGTCTCAACTTGGGATAAATCTGTTCCCCAAAAGATGTTTGGCAATGTCCAGAGATATTTTTGGTTGTCACACCCAAGTGAGGGGGTTAAAAGACCCTGACCTATATACCATTGCGTTAAATCTTCGCAAAACCCTCTGAGGTAGGAAATCAGCGAGATAATTGCCCCCATTTTACAGAAAAGAAAATTGAGGCTCACGATAAGCAAAGTGACATTCTCCATACCCAACAGTGAATGAGGAACAAAGGCCAGGATACTGCTTTCCTGTATTATCCTTCTCTCTCAAAGAGGGTGGGGGGATGACAGCATGTCCAATGGTGTATGCCCTCATTTTCAGTTATGAAATACTTTTCAACCCTACAAATAAAAATCTTTAACACAAAAATTAGAAAGAAGTGGCAAAAAGGAAAAATTCATACTTCAGTTTGGGGGATCATGGCACTTTTTACTACGTTCATTCATTTGTTCAGAGATGTATTGAGGAGACCCAATGTCCTCTCCATTTACTCCTCCATGAGGAAAAGGGGGCTTTCACCCTGTTACCTGAACCCATCCAAGGGTAGGGAATCCACTTTTCACCTGGAGACAAAGGCAACTGGAAACTCTCAGAGGTGGTGACTCAGCCTCTCACCCAGGGTCCAAAGGTTCTGGAGACTGCTGAGGGAGATGCTGGAGGTTCCCACAATCCTCAGTGTGGGGGATGAGACTGAGTAAATTGCTACCAGTAACGCTGGATGGACCAGCCCCTCCGAGGGTGAAACGGCCCTGACAGCAGGGCAGAGGGACTCGTACTTGGGGAAATGCTTTGGCCCCACACCAAGAGCACTGGGGCAGTGGAAGCCTAGGTCCAGTTCAAACAGAAGTCAACAGCCCCACCTCACCAACGACATCCAGAGTAGCAAGGAACTGCTGCAGAAAAAAGGGAAGCCAGAGGAGTGTGAACTGCTGCATGAGCCAACTCCTTCCCTCACCCCATCCCCACCCCCCAGCAGGCATTTGGACGTTGAGGGCAGAAGGAGGGAGGGAGGGGAGGCCAGGCCTCGCTCTTCTGCCTGAGGCAAGTTGTGGTAGTACAGTAGCTCCACTGGGGTGGGGGAGGAGGACTTTAAACCAGACAAGGACCATAATTAATAATACCCAAATGTGATGAAAGAATATCTACCAGAAATAAAACTTTTAAAACAGAAGTGACTGGCAGTTATTGGATCAGACTGAGATAATATTAAGCAAAGTTAGTGGCACTTATCGAGGGAAAAAGATATCCATCCCTTGTGTATACCTCACCAAGTTGAGATTCCTCAATCTAATCTATATGGTGAGGTGCCGTGCTAAGAAACATTTACCATAAAGAGCACAGGTATTTATTACTTGGTCCTCATCTCAAATGTGGCTTGGGACGTGGCCCACTTGAGATTTACAGGAGAAAAAGTTTTACCTAATTAGATGTAATATGAACTATACTCCAATTTTCCCATCTTCCCACCACTGTTGTTGTGAATGTGTTGCTGCTCCGTGTCCTAATAGTAGGCACCAATCAATTAGAAAATGTCAATGAAATTTAATGTACAGTCATGTGTCTCTTAGCGACCAGGATATGTTCTGAGAAATGCATTGTTAGGCAATTTCGCCATTGTGCAAACATCATAGAGTGTACTCACACAAACCTAGATGGTATAGCCTACTACACACTTAGGCTATATGGTACTAATCTTTTGGGGTCACCAGAGTATATGCAGTCCATCATTGATCAAAACATCTTTATGCAGCACATGACTGTAATTAGTTAAATTATTTTGAACAGCTCAAGTTTAATTCCATTCACGTTGTACCATGACACTGGGCAATGAAGAAACCTTCCCAGTAAAAGGAAAACACATACAAATATACACAACAAGACTCCAAATACACTCAACACATGTTGCTTGGAATCAAACCGGATACTAGCATGGACCCTCTCAGCTCAAAATTATTATTAATAAAACGTTATATCAAAAGCATGTGATAGGGCTGGCCCTGTGGCTTAGTGGTTAAGTGCGCACGCTCTGCTACTGGCGGCCTGGGTTTGGATCCCTGGCGCGCACCAACGCACCGCTTCTCCGGCCATGCTGAGGCCGCATCCCACATACAGCAACTAGAAGAATGTGCAACTATGACATACAACTATCTACCGGGGCTTTGGGGAAAAAAAGAGGAGGTTTGGCAATAGATGTTAGCTCAGAGCCGGTCTTCCTCAGCAAAAAGAGGAGGATTGGCATGGATGTTATCTCAGGGCTGATCTTCCTCAAAAAAAAAAAAAAAACAGCATGTGATAATGAGAAAATGTATGCAAGCTGTAAATAAAGATATTTAATTATGTAATTCACTACTGGGAAATTTTGAACACTCTTGCTGAGGACTATTTGTTCATATTGAGGTGAAAGAAATGAGACAAAAGGCATAGACAATGTGTTCAAAAGCAAAGGACAAAAGCTAAGACTGCCAAACCAAGTGACTGATGTGTCTTCACAGCAGTGGAGAGAGCAACAGACAGTGGGCATGTTTGTGCCTGCAGAGCCATCACAGAGTCCTCAGCCTATTTCTCTCTTAGTTTAAGCTTCAGCAAATAGGACAATATGAGCAGAATAATTAGTGATTGCAATAATTATTTTAATTTTATTAAATAAAAGATCAGGTAGAATTTTATAGAATATGTATAAGAATTTATGTTTGAATAATAATTTTCTTAAAGGATTTTTCCCTTGTTTTCCTTAGTGTGTGTGACTTTCCTTTCCTTGTGTGACACAGTCACACAACACTCTCACACAACAATCTTCTCAAAAAATGGCTATGAAAGGAAGGTGCCCCATGGTCTCAGATGGTGGTTCACCACAAACGCTCACACCAACAACATAGTGGCTCCCAGCATGCGAGTGGGAGGTGATCATGTTTCAGGGAGCTTTATCCTCAACTTTGGATATTGGATTTGAATAGTTGCCCTAAAACGTTTTTCAAGTTCTAGCCTAGCAAATTTGGTCAATTTTTCAGCAGTGTTTTCATCCAGGTTCATCTGGATATAAAAGCAAAAAAAAAAGAAAGTACAACTTGGGTCCTAAAATTAAAGGAAAATTAGATTCGTAAAATTTGGATTGAAAAGAAAGGTATTTAATACATCCAGGAAGAGAATTAAAAGTTACTGCTGGAAAGAGATCAGCAAGATAGGGCTCCTCTAGGAATTACTAGGAACATAAGGACACGTTATCTCATAGCTGTAACTCTGTCCCTTGCCAAGCCCACTGGGACTTCTCATAAACAGAAAAGCTGACAGATCTGAGCTTTGCTGCTCCCT